TAAAGAATGCAGAAGTAGATGAAAATAAAATTAAGAATGTCTTATTTGTTTTACTACTTTAGACAGTGCTTTCCATATTGCTGTCATGTGTGCATACATACTCATTGATGCAAATGCAGTAGTGCAACCAATCCTAGGGGATGGATTTCCCTTTGGTGGATGGTGGATAAAAATACCACAATACTTGTTTGGTAAAAGCGTCGCCTGAGCACTTGCCCCAGGAGCTAATTAGCACTGGAGCACCAGTTTGATACGCTTTCTCTGGGATCCGTCATAGTATCTGCTATCGTGCTTCGTCAGTTCCATTAAACCACTTAGAATTGTCGAGGAATCTATTTAAGTTAGTAATGGATCATTTGAAGATCTCCATAAGCCGATTTTTGAGTGTCAAAGAGCTCAGGTGTTCGTCTTTCAACACAATGCGACAAAATGTCTCATAAATAATTCTTGCAAAGGCGGAGCAGAAGCACAAGATGTCAGCAGTCTAACAAGTCTGCTCAGTGCGAACAAAAAACTGGCTAGACCTTTCCTTCTGAGATTGAAGGCAATATAAGTTTTGTCCCTCGATGCCTCCCAGTCATGGCCGAGCGAAATATTCACCCAGTGTCTGATGTTGGCTGCGATAGCCCGAAGATAGAAGTGCTATAACTGGTTGCGGGGAAACGAATGCCTGGTCTGAGCCAACTCTGGCCAAATGGTCACATGTCTCATTACCAGTTACTTCCGAGGGAACTGGCACCCAGAATAAGTCAATCTTTTTATTTTTACCAACATAGTTTAGTTGAGACTTGCATTCCGCCACTAGTTTGGAAGTACTTAGTAGGCGGGCCAATGTCTTAAGTGCAACTGGGTTGCCACTGCAGATACGTAAACTCATTTGACTCCGCCTATTTTCTACAACGTATTCCATGGTCTTGAGGATTAGAAATACCTCAGCGTGGAAGACCTAAGCATACTGCCCAAGAGAAAAGTGAAGCTTATCCCCATTAACTTCGATAAAGACCCCAGATCCTGACCAAGAGTGGGTTTTGAAGCCATCAGTGAAGATTCGACAATGTGTGAGTCCGGGCTCAGTGCTGGTATTAAACCAACATTCAGCTTAGGAAATTCAACATTATAGAATATCTTCAACAAAGGTAATGGTGGCGTACTATCCTGTGGCATTGAAAAGACACAACTGCCCGGATCTCTACCGCCAGCAATTTTCGCCTTACCCTACTCAGTGTTATACCATAATACGTTTCGTTTTAGTCTTCAGGTGGCTTTTAAGGCTTCCCCACGTATGAAGACACAAAGTGCAGCAGTGCATCAAGAGCAGCGCCAGGTGTTGTAGAGAAATCTCCCTTAGAGGAAACTGCAAGCAGACTTCCCATGCTATTGATTGAGAGTCTGCTCCACCATACCACTGACGCATAGCTGATTGTGGGTCTGATCATAGAGGTATAAAACCAGTAACATACCCCACTTTTTGCCAAAGAACTGTTTATATTGCCAAAATACTGCCAATGTATTGGAGGTTTTGTGTACCACGTGAGATTTCCACGACAGTATTGTATCTAGAATTACTCCGAAAACCTTCACTTCGGCAGAAATCTGAATTGTGACTCAGTTAAGTGTGAGGGGAATTCGATCATCCAACATTTTCCTTCTAGTGAAGAGCACAACGGTGAGCCCATTTCCCTCACAACAAGTATCAGTCATATTCAGTATTGTCTGCGCTTTCCTGCAAACAAGAGTGACAAGTAGATAATGAATTACCATGCACCAGAGCAAAGCGGAAAGCACATCTCCCTGAGAGCAGCCCTTGTTAACACTGAACTTGACATATTGACCTCATTTTGCTGACTTTGTTACCAGTGAGACAAGTGCCAGAAACGCCGCTTGTCTATCTGCGAAAACGTATGCATTACGTACTCTTTCTTAGTTTCTCTATAATGCACTGATTCCTAGCACTTCTACTTGAAAGGTGCTATGAAAGTTCGGTAGTCGGAACCAGAGAGACCAATTCAACATCTCAGAAAAAACACCCGCGCTCCCAGCATAGTGGAGTTAGGCTTACCTCTAACCACAAATTGAAAATTTGCTTTAGAGTGAGGGTAAACACCAGGTGGGTCGCAAAACCCAGGACGAAAAACGATCTGAAGCTCTCATAAGACTCGACCGTCTTCCCTCTCTAAAGCTAGTATTTGATGGTATAAATGCAGAGACGAAGAAGAAGTAAAGAGCATTGGACACCATCTCTGCCATTTTTTTTTATAAGTACTTTATAAATTGTTTAAGCATCTCAAATTCAGCTAGTATTTGCGTGTTTTTGCGCTATAGAAAGCGTAAGATCATCTACATATCGATGGCTGAGTGGAAGATCGACGTATCTCGGCAGGCAGTTCGAAAACGCTCTATCTGAGAAAATTTTTCAACAGCGCCCTATTTCAGAATTTTATTGAAAAACACCCTATCTCAGAATTTGGTTGAAGAACACCCTATCTCAGCTGCCGATTCACAAACACTCTATCTCTGCATATTTTCAATATATTTTCGTTTAAGATAGGGCGTTATTGAACCGAGTTCTGAGATAGGGTGTTTTTCAGGTACGTAGATATATACATATATATAAGCATAAATAGTATGTACTTATGTATTTAGCTTTAACTCTTGAACTCTAAATACCACAGCTTTAACGAAAGCAAAAAAAAAACAAACACAAAATATAACTCAAACGTAAATTACTTTCACAATCCAACCACACTAATGCAAATAACCAAACAAATAAACGATTTCGATTTTTCGATTTCCTTAGCAAACAGTCCAGCAGAGTATGGTCAACTTCGAGTCAGCGCGCCTATAAATATGCTATATGTTAACTGCTAGTATGTTCGCATGCATCATCAAATGTGTTTTACTCTATACATACATACATATTTACGTATAAATGCTGTATATGTAACTAAGCTTTAGCATAAAAACCATCCATCATATGGACGTTTTCCAATAAGTGTACTAAAATATTTTATTCTATTTATATATAAAGTGAAGGTGTTAGTGTAGGCGAAGATGTAGCACAAAAAAAATATTTGAGAAGTATAGCTACAAAAAATGTTGAATTTAAAAGTATGTATAACCAACAGAGCGCTTCATAAATCATGGCGATGGCATGCGCCTAAAAGTATGCCTACTTATTCGAAGGCACGCAAATACTTGCACATGCATACATATATGTATATGTATTAGGATTGTACTCAAACCATCAATTTCATGTTTTACGTATAAAATAAAAGCAACCACGAAATTGTCAAATTAAAAAAAAAAATTATGGGTCGATGGAAGCTTTTGAAAATATTTTGAGTCTCTACTAGGATTAAAAAAATTAATTTTTTTAGATTCTTTTTAAATTCGGCAAGACTTCGATCAGCTATAACTCAGCGTGTTTTAGTTTTTCTCACTGACGTCAGCATTTTTTTATTTAAGGGCTTTGAAAATTGAAATTTCAAAAAATTATTATAAAAATTCTGTGCAATGCTGAAAAACAGTATGCCTATCAAATTAACGAAAAATTTTGTTGAATTAAGGCCGATTAAATTTTTTGGTGCATAAGGACGATTAGGTATTGAAAATGTTCTTTTAACATTTTATCATTGAATATCCTTGAAATTTTACAATAATTATTTTTGAAAAAATTATATGTTAAGGACTAATAGATATGCTCTCGATCACATCCTCGAATTTCGTAATTCTAACTTTATTGGCTTAAAAAAATAAAACTAATTAAAAGGACACTTTCAATACCTATTCGTCCTTGTGAACCAAAAAATTAGATTTTTTTTAATTTTATAGGGTGTTCTCTTTCATTTCGTACCCATATTGTTTTTATAAATTGGAATAAAATTTTTAAATAATTTTGTGAGTTAATCATATCACAAAGTCCTAAAAACGCAGTTTTATTATATTTATGTATATATGCTTCCTGTGTTTAAATTTTTTTTTGTTATTGTAATAAGTCAAATGCATCGGATACCAAGTCAAAATTTAGCCCACTTTTTTGGGACTTTCCAAAAAAGTTTAAATTTTTTGAAAACTTATTTTTTTTTTAATATTAAAATTTTCCTTGATGTTTTTATTTGGACATAAAGCGGTGTTCCATACAAAATTTAGTTGTTGCTATTTTAAGCACCACCCTAACATGTATATTTTATTTCATTTTGGTGTGGCTTTCAGTGCCTAATCGTGTAACTTGTAGCCCAGTCGCACTATCGTGGGGAATTAAATTTTCGAAGACCAAATGTTGCATAGCTTTAGGCGCTGAAGTACGTCAAACTTCATTTTTTACAAGCTTTTATTTATAACTAAAGTGCTTTCTCTACGGACCGAAAATAATCGTTAAATATCATGATTTTTTTTTTTATTTTCATGTCATTGCAAAATCGTTAAATTTGGAATTTTTTTTGCTCAGAGATATTCGTGTTTTGGGTTTTTAAGGCTTTCAATTATTTTTTAACGTTATAATGGAGACTACGTTGTTATGCCCGTTTTAAATCTTTTATGATTGAAAAAATTTAATCTGAAAATAACGGTTACAATAATAATAAACTAAATCAAAAATAGCAATTAATAATTGAACGAAAAAATTTAAATCCAATTTCACCGATTAAATTATGATTTTTATTATTAAAATCATAGCCGTTACGGTCCATGGATTTCTCAACTAGATATATGATAGGGTCGTTGGTCTAGGATTAAATTTCTGGGCAGTCAAGCACGTAGCTTAAGCTCACAAGTGCATTCATGTTTTATTGAGCTTTCTTTCACTCTTTTGTAGCACTTTTGTGAAAACGTCAACAATTTTTCATTGCATTAACACATACATAAAAAAAAACTTTTATCTCGATTAATCTTAAATTATTTGAAATAAACTAACAACGCTGCATGAATTTTATCTATCTACCTACGAAAAAATCCAAAAAAAAAAAAAACAAAAAAAAAACCTATCGACGGCCCTCCTTTAGATACGCATCGTATTTCTATGTTGGCTGCCATGGATTCTGCGTATGAGTCGTCCTGGTAGGCCACTAATTTTGGAATTTCCCACTACGCCATGCTCGGACACATCATCGGAACGAAAACATCAGATATTGTCCGATGTTGAACTGAAGGAGCGGTAGGCAAAAAAGAAAAATATTACTTTTTATAGAGAATTTTGTGAATGTGTTTATTTGGAAAAAATATATACATATCTAAAACCATACTGCTTGCTAAACTTTTTTACAAAAATTTTAAAATATTTTGTGTTACGTTTGATTTTTGTACGGTATGTTTTCCTTTTCTATTTTCAAAAATTTACCATATCAATTAAAATTGAATATTAAATGTCTCACTCTATTCAATTACACTCGACAATCATGAACAGCTCCTCGAAATCGCTGCTCGCCAATGTGCTCGACATCGATGATGATTTTCGACACAATTGCCGCCCGATGACGCCTGGCGGCACATTACCGCACAATCCCGCATTCTATCGCACCGTTTATGGGTAACAACAAGCTAAAAGCTGTTGAGAACTAATAACAAATTTGTTGTGATTTGTAATAAAGCAGAGTGTGACTGTGAGAGAAATTAATTACAGTTCAAACTACAAATTTCGCTACAAAAAAAGTCGCATACCTTCAAAATAATTTTTTTGTCTTGCATGCAAAATATAATTTTCCAACATGCAAAAATACATATTGACTTCTTCTCTGTTTTGCCACACTCTGCTGTATTACTTTCTTTTAATACAATTCGCTACTAAAATATTTCTCTTGATTCTCTCTAGCCAAGGTGATGACGGCAGCATTGGTCCGATCGGTAGCACACGCATGCCGGATGCCGTTACGCATCATACGTGTATCAAATCAGCAACGGAATATGAACTAGGTTTAATTTTGAAGGAAATTCGCTTTATAACCGATCAGGTATGTTCAAATGTTTTTAAAACTTTGGAACTTAAATACTTATTTACATAAGGGTTTTAATTCATTTTTGGTAATGTTAGCATAATTTATTTTTAAATTTATTGCTTGGAGTTGGAAAATTTAATTTTTTTTTTTTTTAAGAAAAAAAGACTCAATTGACGTTTTGGGCGCTGAAAAAAATGTGACTAGGCCGAGATGACTCCCTGAGCAATCGCAAAGGAACATGCTTTTGTTCGAGCATTCGTGGCTTTCAAAAAAAAAATAAAAAATTTGCCGGATGCATTCTCAGGTTTGCTAGGCGAGTACTTTCTCCATATGGCAACTCCGAAAACGAAAATTAGTTTACCTATTCCCGTAATATGCGGCGATTTTATAGACAACTTTTAGTTGTAAGCAACAATCGCCTGCTGTGAAGGGCCTATCAACTAATCGCCTCCAATAAAGATGGGCGGCAGCCAACTTTTTATTCAACTAATCGCCTCTAAAATTGGATCTAAAGTCGCATTTCTGAACACTATTTAAGGGGCTAATTGATCTCCAATAATACACGTATAAGACTAGTAACGACTAATTAATGTCCAATTGTACCCGATTGAGACTAATCCCGGAATACTCTCTGTCGAGATTTGCCGCACAAAATCTTTGCAGAGTGCCCTTTGTAACGGACAATTCTTGTTTTTATTCATTTTTGTTTTGATGCCATCTGTATTTCTTGTTCTAACACGATACGAATCCCCATCAAATAGTTTGTAGATAGTTGTTTTTTTTTTGTTTTTGCTTGATACATGAAGGCTGGTCTAGCAGCGCATATACGCGACTAAATACCTATCCTGAATGAAACCAATCGATATACCACTTTTTAATCCCATTTGACAATGTATTTTCACTTATTTGACGACAAATTCCATTGCATTTGACTTAGTGAAAACAAGCCTTAAGCGACTCAGGCTGTGCTGTAATGTCACAATACCAACGGGAGCCATCTGAGCTATTTCGCAGCCTGTTATGACAAATAATGATACCTGTTACTTCCTTTAAGCTTGTACTTAAGAGAGTTGTTCATAGCTTCTAAACGCTGCTTGGTCTACCGCAGTCTATGGGCAGCCTATCCTCCTTCTTAGCTCTTCATCTTCTTTCAACTCCCGCTTGTCCTAATTAGACTATATGTCCTATGACAAGAAATGTTCAGATCTGACTACCAACTGCTACTTCTTCCGTCAGTGTAACTTCCTTCCTTGTTCATCTGTAGGCATCGCTTACAAATAACAATTCATCCTAAAAGGCCGAAAGTTCATAAACGTCTTCGCCATCGGTCCTAAGACCATAAGTACCTGCATCCTTTTGATAGGTATTTAATCCGAAATATGATTTCTCAGATAATATGGTCTTCGCAAAGTTCGTCTTTTTGACTACGTCTTCTCTACTGAGACGGGAGGTCGGGATTTTTGTTTCTTTTACGGTGCTCATTCTGCTTCAGATGACTTCACCTTAACTAATAAGGCTTTCCCTGTGATGGTTGTAAAGTCCCTTTGGAGGTTGATGTTAGGTCGAGATAGAATCATAGGGCTGTAGTGGAGCGAATTTGGATTGATCCTGCTATACAGGTGTCTATCGGCCTCAAACGACCAACTGATATCTTTGCATACTGTATGATTTTAACAAGAATCAGTTGGTAGGTGTAATTTTTTGCATGTATCTCACTGCTCCACCCGTTTGAGCTAATTCTGGGGTATATTCTGGACAGGAGGCTAAACTGATAGCAATACCTAGCCCAGCGTCAAAAGATACTTCTATAACACGTAGTTCTTTAAGCTTTTGCATTATACTCGTGGTGTGAGTGGCGCCCCGGAAACCAACCCACATTGTGATCGAAAATATGCGGGCTTTCTTCCAGGAATTCGCTTTTGCCCTTTTAACAACCCCAAGCTGAAATTTTACCCCGGACATTTCGTTGCGGAAAAAAAGGCAAATTATCTGCCCTTTGAAGTTTTGTCAGGGGAGATGGTTGCCTTGAAAATTAAATGTTTGCTTAAAACAATGCGTTAGCTCCACAAGGATAAGTGGGCAAAAACATTAACTTTACCGGGTTAAGTGTAACATCAAATACATTTTCACCATAGAGGCCCAGAATAATCAGCGAAACATAAGAGTGTTGTATATATTCGTTCCCACGACAGTCGGGTCTACGTAACCGGAACGACCCAGATTTATATCTGGCCAAGGACTGTCACTCCAGCAACACTCCCCAAAAACCCTTTGGGGAACTTGTATGCTGCTACAACAACAACAACAAGTGTTGTATATTAAGAAAACAAGCAATTCTCGTATTGCGTTTTTCCTAAGGTGCTGCAGAACCTGCTGAAACTATGTAGAAGCCATGNGGCTTTCTTCCAGGAATTCGCTTTTGCCCTTTTAACAACCCCAAGCTGAAATTTTACCCCGGACATTTCGTTGCGGAAAAAAGGCAAATTATCTGCCCTTTGAAGTTTTGTCAGGGGAGATGGTTGCCTTGAAAATTAAATGTTTGCTTAAAACAATGCGTTAGCTCCACAAGGATAAGTGGGCAAAAACATTAACTTTACCGGGTTAAGTGTAACATCAAATACATTTTCACCATAGAGGCCCAGAATAATCAGCGAAACATAAGAGTGTTGTATATATTCGTTCCCACGACAGTCGGGTCTACGTAACCGGAACGACCCAGATTTATATCTGGCCAAGGACTGTCACTCCAGCAACACTCCCCAAAAACCCTTTGGGGAACTTGTATGCTGCTACAACAACAACAACAAGTGTTGTATATTAAGAAAACAAGCAATTCTCGTATTGCGTTTTTCCTAAGGTGCTGCAGAACCTGCTGAAACTATGTAGAAGCCATGGTTTTTTGCCACTAACACAATAGAACGGAGTTTTCACCCTCAGCACGTTTCGTCAGACTACAAATTATAAGGCTGTCGTCTTACTATTTGCGGCTTAACGTTATAGTTACCGTAGCCAAGTTAAAACAAAGCGACCACCTATATGCAGACATCTTTTTGCTGTCAATCCCAGACCCTCCTCCTTACTTCTAAATAAGATGTTGTTATCCAAATACAGTCTTCAGTGATTGAATCTCAAAAAAATGTTTTTGAAAAACGCCACGCTAAGTTTTCGTCTTCAAAATTTTTTGAACGGAAATTAGGGGCGCCTAAAGGCTGGAAACACTGTAAAAATTTGCTGATTTCTCACTGAAATTTTGGCTTTCGCTTTTTGCTTGTTTTTTGAGACAAACCACCCTATTACTAATGACAAAGCTCATCGCATGACTATTGTCTTGACTACTGCACCTAAAACTATGCCTACAATCACTGTTATTTATATATATTGCCCTGAATCTGAAAACTACGAAAAAATGTTTACATTCTGCGTGAAAGTTTAAGGCAAAGTAACTATTTAGTAAAAACAGTAGTTAAGCGATGAGCTTTTTCATAGGCGTGGGAATAGCGCTGAAAAGTTTAAGCTCGTCTCGAAAATTTCTTAAAATGAACTCTGAGTCACATTCGCGGGTGGAATGAGAATTTCGTTTGCATAATTTTTATGGGCTAAGGAAAATCAGAAAGCAAACAAATGTGAGACAGGAATAATTTTTCTTTGGCTCTTGTATCATGCTACAAATAAGGATCTCAAATATACGAACGGAAATAAAATTTTTCATTGTTTTAATTTTGCTTTATTTGTTCTTTTATATTTTTCTTGATTTCTGGATATTGATGTATTAGTGGTAAACGCATAAACATATGTAAATACTTAAATTTATATGTGAAAAGGCATGCCTTAAAAATATAGTTGAAATTTCGTTAACTACAAAATTCTTTCATACAACTGTACCACCGAATAAATATAACTAACTACTCACCGCCGCTATATCAAGTTTTGATACATTCATCTATCTATATATCTATAGTACCACCAAAATTGTTAAAGTTTAACTTATAAAACTAAATATGATTATACTGAGTGTGTTGAAGCTGCAAAAAAAAAAAAACAATGCAAAAATGGTTAAATTAATTTTTCCTCTATCTTTGTACTTTTTCCTTTTCAACTTTAATTAATTTATGGAAACACTTCATAAAATACCAAAACCCATAAATGACNTGTACTTTCTCCTTTTCAACTTTAATTAATTTATGGAAACACTTCATAAAATACCAAAACCCATAAATGACTACCAAACAAATAAAACCAACTACACTAACATAAAAAAAATAAAAAAACAAAACCTAATTATAAACTTCGCACCTCGTAATTATGTATGAAAAATGCGTTCATTTACATCACTCACTATCCTCAGCTACGCAAAGAAGACGAGGAAAATGACATTGCCAATGATTGGAAATTCGCAGCTATGGTCGTTGACAGACTGTGCCTTATCATATTCACAATGTTCACAATATTAGCCACAATAGCTGTACTACTATCAGCACCACATATTATTGTCTCGTAGCCATATGAGCGAGGTTATTGTTATTGGTTTTATTATAAAATCAATTTGTTAATTATTAAATTAATAACGAAACTTTTTAAGTAAACTTTAAAATTTAAAACCAAAAAAAAAACGTAAAAAAATTAAACACAAAAACAAACGGCAAACGCAAACTAAAACACAAACCCAAAAATACGCACACCACACGAATGACTACACACTAAAACATGCACTGAAAGAAACATACAAAAAACAAAAAGCAATTTCGTACGCGAATGCACGAACCAATGTGAGACTTCAAACAAACGCACACGGAAACAAATACACACCTAAAGGCAAGAGTGAATTTCGGTAAGAAAATTAAAAAAAAAACACAAACGAAGAAATTCGCACCAAAATTACGCAAAATTTGCAACAAAAAAACAATAAATAACCGGAAAATCTAAATTCGCTGCAGTACTCTTCAAAAAAGAAAACCCATAGAAAAACTCACTCTGCTCACTAACAACAATCAATCGATCAATCACAAAACAAACAGATTTGCTAAACATAACCACAAATAAACTTGAAAAAAAAAATTGCAAAATCTAAATAAAAACTGCTTAAACTATTAAACGAGTTTAAACACAGCTAAAAAAAATCGTAAAACCACTTAAAAACAAAAATAAAACATTAAAATCGTAACACTTTAAAAAACCAAATATTAAAGATACTTTAGTTAAAATGTTAGTAAACAAAAAACAACTTTTTCTCTTCCTAAACCGAAAATTTAGCGCATAATAAATTTTTTAATTAAAAGTATATTTGAAAAAAAAAAAATAAATTTCTAAACTAATTTCTGTAACTGATAGATACCCAAAAAAAGATCAATAAGTTAAGCAGCAGTTTGGAAATCTAGAAAACTAAGAGAAATAAACTCGAAATCTATAGAAGAAAATAGTAGCCCATATTAGTTGCCCGAAAACCCATCAAACTCTCACAAATTTTCCATATATATTAAAACTTTTAAGTTTTTTATATATCGAAACAAACTAATTGTACATAATTTGCAACTTTTAAATTTAAAGCAGTTTTAATTTGAAATTTTAAAATTAAAAAAGAAATTTTCTTCGACACTTTTAAATTAAAAAAAAATATATATATTATTTCATAAATTTACTACTCATAAGAACTCCGTATAATGTCTTTTGAAAGCGGTACGTATTATTCGTTTAGAAAGCTGTACTAATCATAAATCAACTCATTTCACCCAATGTATGAATATATTTTCAAAAGTTGGAGATAATAAAAGCTCACAAATAAAAGCAGTGAAAGCTTTCAAACAAAGGCAGTGAAAGATTAAAAAAATTGTGAAAGCTCATCTAGAGTAAAAGATAGTTCACCAGGAAAAAGTTAAAGCTCACTTAATGCAAGCTAAAGAAGTTACTAGAATTGAAAACTGAAAACTAAAACTTGTGTAATGCAAGTAAACTCAAACCTAAAGCTTACAAAATCTTAGTGAAAGCTCACAAAATTTTATTTATTGAATTATTTATGAATAAACTTAACACAACTTTCAACGCAAGTAAAAGCTTTAAAGCAGACATGTTTTAAGCTGAGTTAACTCACCCATATGAAAACCCTAAAGCAAATGCTTTGAAAATGTGCCTAATGAAAATAAACATGCAAAAATTTAGATGATCTTTAGCTTTGATACTTCTTGGTGGTCCGCAGCGCATTAATTGCCAATTAATGATAACGACAACGCGAGTTTCTATGCAAAAAAATTTAAAAGGCTAATCTCCATTACAGTGAACATCGAAAGCTTTGCAAAAGCTCTCTGCAAAATGTAAGGAAATATTTCAAAAAATTATCGTTATTTGGAAATACAGCTGCAGAAGAGTTTCATTTCACAAATACGTGAAAGCTCGGTAACACTAATAAAAAATATTCGTAACTTGTTTCGACCTTAAAAAAATTAACGGCATGAAATTTTGTTTGGCTCGAGTACAAAAACAATCAGCCACGGAGCTTTCACCTGAGCATCAGTACTCAATATAAAAAATAGCCGTCACTTGGTTTGAGGTTTAAAAACATTAACGTCGTACGATTTCGTTTAGCTCGAGTACAGAAACAATCAGCCACGGAGCTTTCACCTGAGCTTTCGTTGTATTTTACACAAAACAACTCATATTTAAATAGCTGAGCAGAACGCCAAACATTATTCCAAATTTTCTGAATAATGTTCTTTTAGCTATCGGTCTTAAGAATTATTTATCAAATCGTCGGAATAATTTTTGTTTCTGTTCTTTTTTTTTATGTATGTTACCGCATAACTTTGGACCACGTTAACCGATTCCTATAATTATTTTTTTGAAGAAAAGGTGGCACCTTAAGGTTGTCCCCTTACTGGTTTAGATCCGAACACTGGATCTTGAAGAAATTAACGATCACCTTAAATTTTTGTATTGGAATTGAAGTCTGTTTTGCTTTTCGCTTAAAAATTACTTGTTCCTTACAAATATTAGCAAAATGTGATTCCGATTTTGAGCTTGCACTGTTGGTTATGAGCTTTACTTAAAGCTTTTCAGCTTTTATTTGAGCTTTTCAGTTTTCAATTGAGCTTAACCTAATGTTTATGAAAAACTTTTCGAAAACAAATAACTGTACAGTTTTCAAAGTTTTTCAGCAAATTACAGCCAAAAAAACTTAATTTTTTATAAAAAATTTTTTTTATTTTTTGCCCCCTCCAAATTTTTTAAAATATGGCATTGGTATACATTAGTTTAACCAAAGCTCTTCCCTATGCTAGAGAAAATATATAGAAAAAATTCAAGGTACCATAGAAAGTTCATGCTCGCTAACTCATTGTAAGCATACGAACAGTTTTAAAGCAAATAATAATCCTAGTACCTATTGAACACTTTTTAAAAGACGTCTTACCTTTCAATGTCAAAGTAAGGAGTACTCGTAAGTTAGTAATATGAAATATAAAATAAATAAAAGATGAAATCATAATGATTTCAAGCAAACTGCTCTTTGTACATAAATACATACTGACATAAAGGTGCATAGACTAATTGAAAAGAGTTCATTTCATAGCTGCATACATACCTACATACATACTTACATAGTAAATAGAACTCATGCATGAAACGCATAAGCATAGATAATTTAATAGAATTATTCAATAGAAATCATTACGAAAATAGGTAGTATAGAAATAGGATTAGAACGATAGGCAGACATACATTACAACTTAGGTTAGCAAAATGTAGCAGATTTGAAAGCAAAAAACNCATAATGATTTCAAGCAAACTGCTCTTTGTACATAAATACATACTGACATAAAGGTGCATAGACCAATTGAAAAGAGTTCATTTCATAGCTGCATACATACCTACATACATACTTACATAGTAAATAGAACTCATGCATGAAACGCATAAGCATAGATAATTTAATAGAATTATTCAATAGAAATCATTACGAAAATAGGTAGTATAGAAATAGGATTAGAACGATAGGCAGACATACATTACAACTTAGGTTAGCAAAATGTAGCAGATTTGAAAGCAAAAAACAAAAACCTAAAAATACATTGATGTCGTTGCAGTTTGTAAAACCATTATTTTTTAATTTTTTTATTATAAATAAAAAAAATAGTGAAAAAATTTTGAATTTTTATAAAAAATTATTAAAATTTAAAAATTTTTATTTTTTATATTTTGCTATTCCAAAAGGTTTCCATTAAGACAAAACAAATTAAACGCAAATTGTATGCAAATTATCGCACGCAANCTTAGGTTAGCAAAATGTAGCAGATTTGAAAGCAAAAAACAAAAACCTAAAAATACAGTTTGTAAAACCATTATTTTTAAATTTTTTTATTATAAATAAAAAAAAATAGTGAAAAAATTTTGAATTTTTATAAAAAATTATTAAAATTTAAAAATTTTAATTTTTTATATTTTGCTATTCCAAAAGGTTTCCATTAAGACAAAACAAATTAAACGCAAATTGTATGCAAATTATCGCACGCAAACAAATAAAGCAAAAAAAAAAACAAACACAAGCAAAAAAACATATTCACTTAAAACCATTAATAAAAAGCCGTTAAAACTGCCACTTGTTTATAGTAATAATAATTAATTAATTAAGCGTGTAATTAAAAAAAAATTGCATGCGATATTTTGCATATCAATTACGGCAAAAACCCGCNTTAAACGCAAATTGTATGCAAATTATCGCACGCAAACAAATAAAGCAAAAAAAAAAACAAACACAAGCAAAAAAACATATTCACTTAAAACCATTAATAAAAAGCCGTTAAAACTGCCACTTGTTTATAGTAATAATAATTAATTAATTAAGCGTGTAATTTAAAAAAAATTGCATGCGATATTTTGCATATCAATTACGGCAAAAACCCGCTTTAAATCCTTGAATTAAAATGAACCTCTTCCCCCCCCCAAAAAATACAACTAAACAAACGTACAAAACCAATATAAATAACCCAAGCTGGGAAAAGCGCAATGAAAAAAATACAAACGGAAATTAAGGAAACAAAAAAATATATAGCATGCGCGAGAATTTCGTATAAACAACAACAAAAAATATCAAACACCTCAAAAAGCTCATAAAAGCATACGACGCGTCACCATATGCGTATGTATGGTTTCGCTAGCGCGTGTGTGTGTGTGTGGGTCGCTCGTTAAGACCCCCTGAAGGAATATCTTTATATAGAACAACTCATAAGTGGCATACACAACGAGAAATGGTTGCGAGCAATAATATTTGCGTGTTGATGTTGGCAAAAATGTATATCGAAATGAAATGCGTTATGATCGACCGATTTATTGTTTGGCTGCGGTTGGAAGCTGTGTATTTGGACATTAGCTACCAACTTGGCAGAGTAGGTGGTTGTAATTTCGACATGTTCTTGCTGTGTAAAAGGCTACTGAGGTGATTGAAGTTTCCAATTTTTAGTAAAATTAATAAGTAAGCTGACTTTGATGTGAGTAGAATGAAATTCATAACTTACTACGATTCTCAAATTTAAAGAGTTAAATTTTTCTTATAAATATACCTACTATAAATAATTAAAACACAGAAAAATATAATTTTGTTTATAGGAATCAGTTGTGGTTTTTGCGGCTGTAAAAAGTTGTTTTTGCCTTTTCTGTCGTTTTCACTTAATGTGAGTGAAAGCTCAAATACAAACATAGCGAAATCTCACTTATGCTGTCGAAAGTTCACTTAAGGTATGGAAAAGTTCAAAGACAAAGACAGTGAAAGCACAATGAATTCACATGAAATAACAATGAAATTAAAGTGAAAGCTCGCTCAATGCAAGTTAAAACTTACTTAAAGCATATTAAAGCCAAAAAAGCTAAGCCATTGAAAGCTCACTTAAGGCTTGCAGGAGCGAAAAATAAATAAAGTCACAGCTTATTTATTTATGCAATCAAAACCATTACATTGTCCGAAGATGAGACTTTTCAAAGCTTTCCGTAGACTTTATCTGCACGCGCACAGATTAAAAGTTCGGTTTGATCGTCACTAAATTAAAGTGGAAGCTCAAAGGCTCTTAGTGTAAGAGAAAATTTAAAAAACCATGAGAGTGAAAGTTCACTTTGTACAGTCAAAATCCCGAAAATAACACCAATAAAAGCTTACTTAATGCAAGTGAACGCTTAACGCCATATACATGTAGCGAAAATTTACTCAATAAAAATTAAAGCTTGAAACAAAGATAGTTATAGCTTGCTTAGTGCAGATAAAAGCTCAAAAGCTAAGGCGACTAAATCAAAGTTAAAGAAAGCTTGAGCCTAAAAACTATGCAAGTTTGGATCGCAGTAAGCTTTCATGATTATTTCAAAGCTTTTTTGATACATGAGCATTGCAGTGAAAGCCGATTTAATGAATTTGAAAGCTTTTTAATGCGTATATCCGTAAACTAACTGCACAACTTTTTTCAAGAGGACTACAACGTTCGCTACCTATAATGTAACTTGCTTAGTGCAACTAAAGCTCAGTTGAAGAAAGCGTAAGCTTAAAAACCATGCAAGTTTTGATTGTAGTAAATTTTCATGATTATTACAAAACTTTTTAGATACACGCGTTTTGGCAGTGAAAGCTCACTCAATTAATATGGAAGCTTCATAAACTAACTGCACGTTTTTCAAGAAGACTGCAACGGTATATACATATAATAACGCCAACCCCAGAATACGGAAAGCGTTTCTGAGGATGTCGCCATTCGTTTGCAAAAAAGGGAAAGTTCCTTAACCGGTTCTCAAATTAATTTTCGGTATTATCGTTCTGTTTATCTTAAATAAATTCTTATTTTAGTAAAGGTTATGAATTTCATTTACGCTCTAAAAATCAGCAAAACAGCCGAACTGTCGGAGAAGTTTAAGGGACCAAACAAAAAATCGCTCGTTCATTTCAAGGTACAGCAAACCAAATTTAAAAGATAAAAAGATGAAATATTCAAACTTCTACCATACTCTTTTATTTTATTTAGATTACTTTTTTCTGAAAGTTTTTTTTTTAACTCCATAAAAACACAAACAAAACCAAGTAAACTTAGTAAGGTGCATAACAACAATTAAAAAACAAACCATTCACCATAAACAATCCACTGCCGACTAAGAACAGACCGAAAAAACCAGAAAATTACAAACTTAACAAAAAACCTCAGCATGAAGCGTACTTTGGGTAAAGCTTTTCCGCAGACACATGCATTTTAAGAAGCTTCCACTCCACAAAGTTGCGAGCTTCGTAACTGTCAAAGCGCTTCGTCGTCTAGCGCGCTATTGAGTTAAGCTTCTCTGCATGTGTAAGCGTTAGAGCTTTCATGCTCGAAAGCGCTTCGAAACTGAGTACACTTTTTTGGCTTTATTTTTTAATAGTTTCTCTTTACTTTGGTATGGTTATTCTGGTTCTATTCGTAAATCTTGTGCAATAGATACAATCAGAATTTGCTTTGAATATAAAAGAAAAAAAAAACAATAGCAAATAAACTATGTATAAGAAAACGCTACGCTATNCTTCTATTCGTAAATCTTGTGCAATAGATACAATCAGAATTTGCTTTGAATATAAAAGAAAAAAAAAAAAATAGCAAATAAACTATGTATAAGAAAACGCTACGCTATCAACTAATACATAATACAAATACATATATGCAATAAGCACAGACACACACTCATACATAAGTACTAGCATTAATTTGCAAAACAACAACAAAAAGAATAAGAGAAAATAAAGTAGCTATTGTAAGTGTAATGCTTATGATAAAATGAAAAATTGAAGAAGCGAAAAGAGAGCTATGCAATACCAACAACAATAACAGTTGAATAGATAATTATTTATTTAAAAAAAAAACATCTCAAATACAAAGACCATGAAATAAAATTAAAAATCAAGATTTGTTAAGAATTTGTGAAGAATGCAAATATGCTGAAAAAAAATTGGGAGAAACCACTCAAACCTTAAGTCACCACTGAGAAAGGAAAAAAATAAGTATTTGGTGACTAATAGAAAGTCAATCCTTACACGCACGCACAGTGCAGCATGAGTTTGCAAAAGTAAATAAATAAATACATAGTTAATGAAAATACAAATATACGAAGAAAATAGTAAACAATGCAAACATACATACATACATACTTACATGAATAATTACGATTTTATACAAATGTAATTTTGTAATATCTTAGGTATTGAATTCGTAAATTCCATCTCCAAAAATGTACTTGACGTATGTATGTATTTAAGGCAGAATTTTAAACAAAGAAAAAACAAGAGACAAATTCAAGTATAAGCAATTTTCCAACATTTTTATAAAACTTTTATTTTTTAAAGCTTTTACTTTTTTTGTAAAATGTAACTTTTATGACTTTTATATTTTTGTATTGCAAAATGCACACTTGCTGAGTAAACAAAAAAAAACTAGTGTATGCATAGGTGATAGCGGCTGCGCAATTCTTCCATGCATAAAGAATCTGCATTTGTATGTCTCTATGAATATTGCGCCTAAAAAAGGTTGTTCATCTTGCATCGTTTTTTAATATATATACGCGTTGAAATCATTTTTTTGAGTGCAAAATAAATAGTTAAACTTGGGTTGTTATTTGTGTTTTCCCAAACCATAAAATAATATTAATTTTTTTATACAAATTTTCAGTTTTTTCAGATGAAGAAAAATCTGTCGCTAAACGCTCACCCTTTAGCTTTAAATTAGAAAGAATCGCCACACTAAGCCCTGACTAAGAAATATTAAAGTTAAAAGAAACCCGAATTTTTCTACGAAAATTTCGCATTTGAATTGAATTAAAATTTGCGTCATTGTTAAAGGAGCCTATTTGCATCCATAAACTAGAGTTCTTTCCATTTCACTTAGGGTGGGAGAGTTTCGCTCGTTCCGAAAGCAGCGCATGAATGCAGTCTGCAATTCTCCACCGACTCTTAGCTGTAGGTCTATATAAAATAGCTTATTTCCCGGAATTTCTTCTAAATTACAACCGTGCCTTGTGCTTTGGATAATTAAATAAGATTCGCTCTTTTCATAGAACTGAAATCGTGTTTTCATAAAAAATGCTTCGTTACCAAAATTTCTTCAAAAAATAATTCACAACTTTGCAAAACCTAAAATTCCAAAATTAATTGCATCCAAAACCAAAGAAGATCCATAAAGAATTTAGGGTTCTGTTCGTCGTTTATATGACCTGCATTTAAGAAACACGATTCCTCGAGAACGCTTCAAACTGTCACAACATGGAATTCACTGGCTACTCTTGGCTCTTATTGGAATCAGCTCCGAACCACTCCTTCTCTAGCGCTAAATGCTATGCTCAGTAGCAGCGGTTCGCACAAAAGCTCTCGGTCCTCTTTCAACCCAGCGTGCGGGCACTCGATAATCATTAAAAGCTTCGACTTCCTAAGGGAAGAAATGGATCGGAAACTGGATCCAAACGGGTCCTCCTCAACGGACATCTCTACAAGGGCGAATGGGAGAATGGCAATCTCTGGAGTAGCGGTCCAATAAACAATTTCACAGACAGATCGAAGCTGTTCAGACCAGCGTACCTCCGCATCATCTTTCAGACAAAGGTGGTTGCAATAAAAGTGGCAGCCGATTTGTTATGCATTAATGTTTTGCTGACTCGAAGGGTAAATATCTGCTCTGATAGCCATGCGGCAAGTAGGGCGCTGGGATGGCTAATATCTTTAAACCGCCTCGGAGTACTCCGAATTAAGGTGCTTTGGGACACACGACACAGTCAAATCACTAGAAATTGTAGCGCTTATGAAATGGCTAGGCAGGAAACTCTCTAGGCCACCACTTCGGACAGGGAGGGCATAGGAGTTCCGGGCATATTATGTTGCATACTTCTAGGCTCTTTCTATATACATGCATATTGGTGCTTTCAAAAGTGGGAGGATAACATCCGAACAATTTTTTTGCTGCAAAATTTACATCCCTTATGAAATTAGTATTTACTTAGGTGAAAAATTAAAAAAAAAAATATCTCTTTCTAACTCTCCGCTTGCCCTAATTTATATTTTTTTAATATTTCCTACTTTTAAACTTCAAACTCCAAAGAGGTAAATTTTTTTTTAACCGCTTATGCATAAATTGCCACCTTTCGAAATGTTTAACATTTTACGTGTTTGTTTTTCTACGCCTCTTTTCGAACTTACCACAGCTATCACAGATATTCTCCAACTGTTTTATTTGTTTTGTTTAGCACTCATCTATGAACTTGAAAATCAGAAACTTTTAGAATTTTATAATATATAGTTATAATTAAGTAAATATATATACATAAATTGATATTTAAATAAGTAATTGATGAAATTTCCAATAAAAGTTATAGGTGAAAAATTGAATTTTATACGACAAAAAGCGTTTTGAGGGAATATGTAGTGTATGAATGTACTGTGTTTTTTCGATATAATTTTTTTTTTATGAATTTCTAAGTTTCAAATTCGTTTAAGCAAAACAAAGTGTGAACATAAATTTGCTTAAAAGGGTATAAAGCCAGAATTCTAAATTTGTATTAAAGAAAATTATTAAAGACAATGGTGAACTCGGTGAGCTGCTGTATGCGCCGAGCCAATCATGCAAATGCGAATGAAAAAGAAATTACAAATAAACAAAAGAAGTAAAGGAAAACGGAAAACAAAATGGGAGTTAAATAAAAAGTTATGTAAGCAACAATAAAGTAAAAAAAGAAAAATCAGACAAAATAGCACACACGCTGCCACAAGTAATAATACAAAAAATTTATGTGTGTATGAACATAAAACACTAAACAATGCGTTGAATATCTATAGAGTTTGCATTTTTTTTAATAAAATTTTTTTGAAAACATATAAAATCAACCATAAGTAAAAAACAATAATTAAATTTAGTTTTTTACGAACGAAAAAAATAACTCAAACTTGCGGATAATTAATATAATTTAATGGAAAAATTAAAAATAAGCAAATGTTAGGAAAATGTCAGAGTTAGGCAGAAAGTGGCAAATAAAGTGCGGATAACTGTATAAAAAAATGTTTTACGAATCCGATTATACGAACTTAGCGAGTCGATATTCAAAAATAGTTGCTATTCAGCAATAGCAGGTAACTTGAATGAGAAAGCAAAACACATATATATTTATATGTATGTAACCCAGGCAGAGATGAATTTCAATTAACTATATAGAAACTGAAGACGAAAAGCTTAGTGTCAACAGTGTCTACCAAAAAAAAAACGACCTACAGTGGGTGTTTACAAATCGAAATTCAGCTTAGGAAGCAGATGATTTTCAGAAAATATTTTTTTTAACAAAAAATTGAATTTAAAAAAACTGAAAATTTTCTCAACAATTATGTATGTAAACGATAAAAGAATATAACAAAAAATATTATGTATAAATAAAAAGCGAACTAGTTGCATTTAAAAAATTTTAAATATCTAAATTAAATTCAATTTTCAATAAATTACAACTATTTATTAAAGGGCAAAAATACGGACATAAAAACTTATACAAATACTTCTTTCTCTATTTAAACTTTAAACTAGAAACATTGCAAAAACAAACATTAAGGTTTAATTAACTAAAACTTGAATAAATTTAATATAGATTTAAATTAAATAAGGAAAAGAGAGTATTACATTGAAAATAAAAGAAAACTATAAAAATTATAGTGTCAACTGAAAACTGTAATACTGAGAGATTTTCAAAGTCAAGCGCTGATTTTTTATGTCGTTATTAGTATTTAATTGTAACTAAAGAAATATAAATAAATAGAAATAAATGCAATTTAATAAACAAAAATATTGTATGAATGTTTGAGTGCGGCACAAAACAAAAAAAAAATAATTAAATTAATTTAAAAAAAAAAATTCAAAAGAAATATAGACGTACTTAGGATTTCAGTCATTTTGACTTTAATTAGCATTAAATAAACTAAAAAAATATATATATTTAAAGTAATAAAAAAGGAAATTGTACATTTTTAACAGCAGAGCAGTGGTAAAAAATTACGAGTTTATTTCCAAATAAACTAAGATATAAACTTCAAAAAACAAAGACATTCGCAGAAAATAAATTATCAAAAAAAATTAATTAATTAAATTAAATAAATTGAATTGCAATGCAAATTTTTTGATGCTGATTTAATGAGTCATTGAAATTTAGTAGTTATGAAAAATTTAATCAACTGTAAAAGAATTAAAAAAATATTAGCAATACAGTATTGAATTAAGCATAAGAAAAAAAAAAGAATTATTGGAATTTAATTTTTTGAATTTAAAATGAAGTCGACGGTAGCAGCGAAAGCATTAAAATATAGAATAACAAAAATAAAGATGAATACAAAATTTCAACGGCTGTTGGTTAAATTTAATTAGCGAGCAGTTGCAAAAAAAATTAAAAAAGGGCATGAGCTTTTACTTTCCAACAAAAGCTTACACAGATATGTAAGTTTTAAGGCACATTACCAAGTTTCGCGAGTTAATTGCTTCAGCGAAGATGAATGAAAACATAGCATGAAAACATCACTTTGTTAGCGCTTCAGAAGGAAATTGCCATATTGAGCTTTCGACAAGAACACAACACAAAGAAGAGCTTCTACATTTGAAGAATTTTAGAACTCGTAAAATAAAACTACCCTCATTGAAATTTGGAGATACTTTGGAACATTGAACCCGTGGAACAATGAAGCGTGATAGTGCAAATTATAACACCGTACAGCTGAGCTTTTCTTTTGCAGAAGATGACACACGATTTTTGCACGAACTTGCCTAAGAACTATTGAATTAGCTGAAAAGGCTATCGAACACTGGCAGTGGACATCGTAAGGATCGAAAAAAAATTTTAACAAAAGTTAAGTTTCTTATCATTGGTAAGACAGTAGTATGAACAACTCCGAAGGCTAGCTCTTTGGGTATCAATCGAAGTTCGAAAGTACTTTTCGTGCAAAAAAGTATTGATTTATTCATGACCTCTTATCATATTACGATATACTAGCATAAATATATATTTTCGAATTTGACAGTCTCTCAAGTAGCTTTTAACATTTTTTGAGAACAAAATTTGTGTTGAAAGAGGAGCTAAATTTTAAAAGCTACTATGGAAAATGGTCCTAAGTTGTCTTCAAATCTTTTTTATTATACTATAAACCTGCTTATGTTGGTCAAGGGGCACTACGATATATCCCTAAACTTCTCCTAGAGTAGCATCCCTGAATGGAATCTAAAATATGTCAGATATGGACGCTCGACAATGAAGTGGAGAATCCTTCTTTTTGAGTTATGGTCTAGAATGCTGCTTTTGCAGTAGCTGCGGATTCGGAGACCCGTTTCAGCTGTACCATCGCCAAAATATGGTTAGATCTTAGTAGATCCGTTAGTGATTTTCAGACCTTTTGTTCGGCTATACATACATATCTGCAACAGTGTTGCCAGATGGTTTATATAACTTCACCCTAAGATAATTTCATTTCCCCCTAATAAACCCGAAATATTTATAAGGGCTGTTCAGTATCTTGTGCGTATGCATATTCGTTGCATTTGTAAATTCACAACAATAAAATGCACAGGGTTGCCATGGCAGCAAGCATAAAATTTCCAAATGCAATTCCAACTGCAAACCCAAGACCATTGCTGCCTGAACATCCTGAACAGCCCTATAGTTTGTGGGTGTCCAAGGTTGTATCCAGGCTAGTGACACAGCTATCTAGCATTGTTGGGCTGTAATCAATGAATTTCTCAATCAACTGATCAACGAATATATCGAGCACTGAATTCTACCTGGGCAGAAGTCAATGAGCTCACAGACGATGGAGGCAATAACAAATTTGTTAACATTTCAAAGCTTGTCCTTGGGCTGTTGTGTCTACCATGAACCACGAATGCTGCAGTCGAACGTGTATTCTCAATAGTCAATATTATCAAGGCTAAGCTACGGATCAGTATGTCTGTGTGCGATGGTCGAAGCGATTTTACATGTCCGCTGCATCCTTGACGCTGAATGTGGCAAATTTGAACAAACCCCCTCGATGCTGAAAAGATTCAACTCGGAAACGGTCTACGCTATGTTGATGTGATGAACTCGTTCTCTCGCAATAAATTTGAATAGCTTGATTATTCAATGGGGATGCGAGAACAAAAATACATTCCATTTCTAGCTAGTTGGTTTTTTACCATGAACCAAATATACGTTTTTTGTAGTTTTACCTAACCAAAATAAATTTATATAAATATATTCATTACATATTCGTACATAGTACATGCAGTATAATTCTGTTCGAAAGTTGCATTTTTCTTTCATTAGTCTTATAACAAAAAAATAACATTATGATATTGGAAAAAATCCCTAAAGATATTTTGTTCCTAATTTGCTCCCTAATATTTAGTCCAGAACAACCCTAAACCTATGTAGAAGTACGCTAAACTGGCAACACTGATCTGCAAATAAGGGGAAGAACGCATGCCTCTCTACCTTTTANAGTCCGCTGCATCCTGGACGCTGAATGTGGCAAATTTGAACCAACCCCCTCGATGCTGAAAAGATTCAACTCGGAAACGGTCTACGCTATGTTGATGTGATGAACTCGTTCTCTCGCAATAAATTTGAATAGCTTGATTATTCAATGGGGATGCGAGAACAAAAATACATTCCATTTCTAGCTAGTTGGTTTTTTACCATGAACCAAATATACGTTTTTTGTAGTTTTACCTAACCAAAATAAATTTATATAAATATATTCATTACATATTCGTACATAGTACATGCAGTATAATTCTGTTCGAAAGTTGCATTTTTCTTTCATTAGTCTTATAACAAAAAAATAACATTATGATATTGGAAAAAATCCCTAAAGATATTTTGTTCCTAATTTGCTCCCTAATATTTAGTCCAGAACAACCCTAAACCTATGTAGAAGTACGCTAAACTGGCAACACTGATCTGCAAATAAGGGGAAGAACGCATGCCTCTCTACCTTTTATGTAAAGGTTTTTAATGTAGCCTAGCACTTCCATGGTGATTTTGTTTCAAATTTCAAATTGATTAAGTATCACCCAAATAAGCTAATCTGCACCTATACAGACCGTCACATTGACAGATAATGTGTTCGGGCGTTTCTTCGTCCAGCTTAGAAAAACGACAGACGTATGTTTCTAAAAAAAACTTTTACTAAGTTGATAGCGAAGGTAATAGTGTAGCGTCTAGTACCCAGTGAGGGTTTTGAGGTCCTCTTGGGCTTGATTGTGTAGTTTCATTGTTTGCGGCTGTATTTAAGACCAGCGACAAGAATGCTGTTTGACTATCCGAAATAGGCACTACGTCTACAGAACAGCGTCATTTTTTCCTCCAGGATGCATTTCAGACCCTGTTTTAGTGCCTCCTAAAAGCAGAACTCTACTCATAATATAACTTGAAATTTAATCAAGGTTGGATGCTCTAATTCTTTCCATAGCCATGCCGGCTTCTATCTTTGGATATCCTCTCAAATTAATCAAATCATCACTAAAAAGTAACTTATTTTGTAAATAAGCTTAGTGAGTGTGTAAAACTTTTATTTTCTAAAATTATTATTATGAATTTATACTCATCCAGTCATTAAACATTTATTACTAACATATGTATGTATGTACAAAAATTAAAACATTGTAAAAGACAACGCCAAATTTGCTAAAACAAAAGGAAATCATGTGGTGCAATTTTATATTCAAAGTAGTAAAATTTTCTGCGTTCAATTTTGAATTTATGGCAGGGCATACAAAAAAACACAACGTTTCATACGCAAAAACCAGAAAATTTTACACCCCAAAATTCTGATGTCTGCGCAGTTTGTCAACGTACGCGTTTGAATAAAACTAATTTATTTTGCAATTTTCATACATAGTTACAGCTTAAAACAAAAAAAAAAATTAAATGGAATAATATAATAATAGCTACCAAGTCGATAGATAACAGATGAACATTCTAGCTGATAGGAAACACGTCCGCAGCAACGCAGGTGAACTCAACAAACGGATATAGAAGGTGAAACAACTAACTTCAGAACTTAAAAAAAAAACAATTTTTTGTGTCATGCAAGTTTATTTACTTTTTTTATTTCACGTTTAATACTTAGGCCATAATATTCTTAGAATATTTATTTCAACACAAAGTCGTAATAAATTATTAGAAAACAATTAAATTTTTTTGTTTTTTCAAAACTTTTAAAACCAGAAAACTTTACACATACTAAATTATGAACG